GTGGGATCCGAACCCTTGGCGGGAGCGCCACCATGCTCCCAAGCGGCGCACTGTAGCAGTGTGCCACCGGGCCGGCCCGAGTCTAAAGACATTTTTGATGATCACAACTGGGCGAGAAGCTACTGGCATTTAGTAGGTAGAGGCCAGGAATGCTGCTAATCATCACAGGACAGTTCCTACCCCACACCCAACAACAAATTATCCAGCCCAAAGTGTCAGTAGTGCCAGAGTTGAGAAACCCTGCACTACGGTCCTACAAGCCAGTTGTACCAAGCAATCCATAAGATCACCTGACTGTATTATTTAAGACCCACAACTCTAGTATGTCCCAAGCCAGGAGTCACATTCCTTTGGGCCATCGCCATATGATCTAAGGACATCCCTGGTAAGCCAACAAGTATAAAGAACGTTCTGCTTGTGTCTTCATGACTCTAAATAGGGAGCCAGGTGCTAGTAGAGTTGATGGATTTTATGGGAACCCTTCTATCACATTTAATGTTGGGAGGTGGATTTGGGACACTTCTCTTTAGCACCTGATATTTGCTATTGTAGTTCAATTTTATTTTTATTTATTTTTTTGGTAGCTGGCCAGTACAGGGATCTGAACCCTTTGACCTTGGTGTTATAATCCTGTGCGCTAACCAACTGAGCTAACTGGCCAGCCCGTGTAGTTCAATTTTTAAAAACAAGCAAAAATGTTCAGGTTGTTGCTCCTAGAAAAATGAGTGTGGTGTTCAGCACTGAAGTACAAGCTCTGGCCACCTCAAGCATCCCTGCAGGAGAGCATTGACATGTATGTTCGCTCCATTTCTGGGTGGCTAGATAGAAAAGGAGAGAGAAAAACCCATCAGAGCACAGAAAAGGTTGGAGGTTGGGAATGTTCAAGAAGATGGCGTTAGGAAGAGCTTCATGACTCATGGTGTAGCAAAAAGTGTGGATTAGTAGTCCAGAGAGCTGTGCTCCAGCTCCAGTGCTCATACATAAAGTTGGGCAAGCCATTCAGCCTGTATTTATACCCTTTAGTTCATCCGAAAATTTGGGACTGTCACCCTACCTGTGATAGCAGGGTTGCTGTGATAACTGGGTTGTGTGTATGAAAATGCTCTGAAATTTGCAAATGTAGCACAAATGATGTTATTCACTGTGGAAATGAGTTTAACTAAGGAAATCAGTGTTTGTCCAGTGTTCTTAACTTGTCAAAGGCATTGAAATCATCTGGGAAGTGTAGGCTCAGGGTAGGGCTAGAGATGGGTGGAGGTGGGAAGGGAGGAAGAAGATAGGGTCAGCAGAGGGCAGGGCAGAGATGAGACTCTGATGAGGGGAGGGGGATGCAGGGTACGGAAGGCCCAGGGAGAAAAGACTGTCCTTATTCACGGGGCCTCCAGTGCCCTCTCCATTCCTGCCTGCCGTGGCCAGGCCTGCTTGGTTCCTCCCACCTGCTGTTTGTGCCCCTCGCTGGCCTTTGGCAAATGTGTCCTTGGGTCGCTATTCCTGCCTGTTGAAAGCTCAGCCCCTGCCCTCCCAGTCAAGGCTTGTGGTTGGTAAAGAGCAAAGGGACTTTCTGGGGCTCTGCCTCCACTTTCCTGCTCCCATGCACACGATATGAAGCCAGATCATGAGTTTGTTTTTTCTTTTCTGAAATTGAACAACCAGAGCAAGGGATGATTCAAAGACTTCTTTCTGGCTCTCTGAAACTCTTCATATTAATTCCCAAAGTAGTGTCTCAAGAATTCTGGAGAGAGACTGCCTTGCTGGTCTGCTGCCCCGAAGCACCCTGTCCATGTTGACACTGAGACAACATGCGTGTTTTTGCTCCTGGCAAAGACTAATGGTTTGCTTATGGCAATAATAGCTGCCGTTTATCAAATGTCTCCCATGTGCGAGGCACTGCATTCAATTCTTAACTTTGTCCCTATTCCTTCTAACAACCTGTAAAGGTACTGATAATAGCCTTGCCTTACAGATGACAAAACTGAGACTCAGAGTAGTTAAGTCACTTGTCCAGGGTCACACAGCTTACGCTGGCAGAATGAGAACCTGAACCCATGGATGCTGGACTCAGAGCCCCACTGCCGCTCCACCCACTCCTTCCAGGCCCTTGCTGGGGTGGAAAAGAGGCTTTTCTTTTAAGGAAAGTGTGTGTGTGCATTCGTGATTTACTGTTTGGGTTGGTTTGGGTTTTTTGCAATGACACATGAGAGAGGGTGGGGTTCTGGGTAATCTTTTCAAGGCCAAGAAACACTCTACTGCAGTAAAGAGAAGCATCCTTGAGTGTGATTTACTGTTTGGGTTGGTTTGGGTTTTTTGCAATGACACATGAGAGAGGGTGGGATTCTGGGTAATCTTTTCAAGGCCAAGAAACACTCTACTGCAGTAAAGAGAAGCATCCTTGAGTATGGATAGATCCATGACACTGCGAGTTCAGGCAGATGGTTTTTATTTATCTGTTCATCAGATACTTCTAGAGAGGCTGTTTCTTAGGGAGCATGCATGTGGTGCTGTGAGAGATGGAGATGAATCGGGCAGGATCACCCTCTGGGTGCCTCTGTTTCCCTGATGATCTCTGCATGTCCCATGTCTAGAGCAGGGAGGACTTGAGCCTCACCGATAGGCTCTTTGAATATTTTCATCAGTTGTACTGGAATGTTCCCCACATAAAGTTCAGCTTAGTTGTCATCTGCGTCCCCCCAGAGTGACAGAGGGGATGTGGTGGTAGGAAGGGTTGTAAACATGTCCAGTACAGAACGCGTGGAGTTAGGACGGCAGGCCTCCCTCACTGCAGAGTCCCGCTGCTCACTTTGGGCACTTGGGAGGTCTCATCTCACCATCTGCTTTGTCTTTCTGTCCCCTGTGCAGTACCTGCAGATGAAATGGCCCCTCCTCGATGTCCCCTCCAGTGCCACAGTCAAGGACACGAGATCACCATCTCCGGCACACTTGGTAAGTCTGTTTCTCCTTATAGCACCAGAGGGACACTCTTGCTGGCCTCATGTCTCCACCTTTCCAAAGCTGATGGTGTCTCACAGTGTTTCCTCAAGTGCATGAGTGCAGCGAGGAAGAGCTGAGCAGTTGGGGGTTAACAGTTAGGTTCCCCCATCCCATATACCTCAACACACACGCACACACACACACAGCTTCCAGTGTTGTGAGACTGGAAATGCCAGCCCCCTGGCTGTTAGCCCTGCTTCTTCCCAGAAGCCTGCCTCAGACCCTTCCCTGCTGCCATCTGAATCCCTTGCCAATTTCACATGGCAGGGGTGTCCTTTCAGTCCCATTGGAGCTCGTTCGGTGTTGCCACCTCTTCTCCCTCAGAGCTGCGAGACCACAGTTGAAGAGACTCTTCTGTACAGGGTGTTAGAGGAGAGAATTCATTAAAACATGTGCAAACAAAAGCCCCACGGGGAAGCTGAGCCTCTTCTGTGGCAACACTGGGCCTCAGAGGAAGGTCTGGATGGTCCTGGGAGACAGGAGCAAAGGGGTCCTCAGGATCTGCACAAGGCTGTAATCCAAAGCAAACAGGAGATGTTCCAGGAACGGAACCTTGCATTCCACTCTTCTGGACTTTTCTTAGGAACTTGGGTCAAACTTTGCCTTCAGACCCCCTCACCCCACAAGCTGACTGGTGTTCACCCACCGTCCACTGAGTCTCAGAACCATAGAGGATGCAGCTGGAAAGACCCACATCTGGCATGACCTGTCCATCTACAGACAAGCAGACCTAGGGCTTCATTGTTGCCACCCTGTACTGGGTATGAGGCATTGGGGATGCATGATGTTTTTTAAAACTTTAGCATGGAAAAATTTAAAGATACATAAAAGTGTGGAGAATTATGTAATGAACCCTCATGTTCCTTTCGCTCACACTCTCCCCCCCACCACATTGAGTTTGTTTTTTTTTTTGTTTTTTTTTTTGTTTGTTTTTTTTTGGTGACCGGCCGCACTGCGCTCAGCCAGTGAGCATTGCACTGGCCATCCCTATATAGGATCCGAACCCGTGGCGGGAGTGCTGCTGCGCTCCCATCGCCGCACTCTCCCGAGTGCGCCACGGGCTCGGCCCCACATTGAGTTTTAAAGCAAATCCCAGACATATTCTTTTATCCTATAGGACTCTTTTTTTTTTTTTTTTTTTTTTTTTTTTTTTTTTTTTTTTTT